CCTTTGGGAGAGGTAGGGCCAGGGATAGGGTGAGGTGCATCCAAAAATCAGTGAAAAGATAAATAATACTTAATGCAAGGGTTTCCCCAATGGCTCAGTGGTAAAGAATCCTCGGCAATGCAGGAGACACAGGAATCACAGTTTCCATCCCTGGTTCGGGAAGATCCCCTGGAAGAAGAAATGGCAACTCAATCCAGTATTCTTGCCTGAAGAATCCCATGGACAGAGGAGCCTGGTGGGCTACATACAGTCCACAGGGTTGCAAAGAGTTGAACACAACTGAGCACACATAGGCATTTAATGCAATATTTTAAAAATCAAAATTGATGTTAAAATGTCTATGATAAACAGATATTAAAATTTCAATAAAAAGTTCTGTTTGCTTTTGCTGCTTGTATGTTTTATGACCCTGTGTTACTGCACACTGGGGCCAGCCCTTCCTCATCAGCCCTCAGCTCCCGGGCCTGGTATTGTGTCCCTTGTCCACTAGCAGGTGGGTCTGAGGGCTGATTGTGTGCCAACTGTAGGGGCAACTTGGGACTTTCTATAATATATATGTATAGTTATATGTTTTATTATAGAGATTTTATTAACATTCCCATTTTGTTCAAACTACAGAATACAGACTGATATTTTAATGAGTATATACAGAAATGCACATTTTTCATTTTAGCTCAGGCTTCACTAATGCACAGGGAAACAGCAATGGGAACTGTGGACTTTAAGGTCCTCTCTTATTTAGCAGTCTGAATGAAAGCATCTGTGGTGTGGAAAACAGTTTACAAAATAATATGTACAGCATGAGCCTATTTCAGCCTTAAATATATGTCTATGCAAACATATGAATATAGCTTAATAGATAAGTGAAGAATATGTGGGAAGGGAGGAAGGCAGATAAGCAGGCAGACAGGCTATGTGAAGCTGTATCTCTAAATGTTAACATGCTCAATTCTGGGTGGTAAACTGTAGATTATTTTTGCCTTATTTTTTATTTATATTTTTTACTTTTCTACATTGAAAGCATATTATTTGAGAAATTAAGCAATAAAATTATTTTAAGGTTCTTACGACAATCCCATGTGCTTTCACTGCCATGTTAGCTGGCAATAATTTTCTTCGTATGGAGCCATCTCACTTCATCAAAAATCAAGATACTGTCTGTGACACTAAATATGCTATAATTACCAACAAGGACGCATACTGTTTAAAAAAAAAATCAGGTAACCAATCTGTTAGAAAATATACACTCAAAATGTCCTTGCCAATTTAATAAAATTCCCCAAGAACTCTTAATGACTCATCATTCTCATAGCTATAATCTTGCCCTCTTTCCCTATGACTGGGAATTTCTTTCTAGGAAGGAAGGATAAAAGTGCAATTATATACAAGTCAATATGTGACTGAAAAAGGTGGTCAGCGTGGATGCAGGCTTTTCCTGCATGATAGGCAGGATGAGTTTTAATCCCCTAGGGGAAAAAAGTAATTTTTTTTTAAATATAAAAGGCCCACATTTTTAATGTTCATTAGCTAGCATTTAGCTAGAAGGGTCACCTATCATTAAATTATTTTTATAGGCAGCTTAGCAGAAGCTGTGTTTCCATGACAACAGACAACTTATGGAAGGTCAAAAAAACGTTAATGGAATTTGTGATGATCTTAACAATGCTCTATGGAAATCATTCATTAATCTGATTTTCCTATTGCTCAGGATTCCATGCCAATTGCAGAACCAGCTTTCCTGGGTCTGGCTCATGTTGGAAATAATGTATTTTTGAGAGCTCCAGCATGCCTTTCCCTAGGGAGTTGAGATAGAGAGTTTGGTAATCCTCCCTTTCTCTTATGAGCTGAACATGGGAAGAGACTACTATTAAAAGAAAACAAAACAACCCCCCCCTCCCCACTACCAAAACAAACCAAAAAAGCCCTTAGATCACCTCAAGGTAACTATGAAATGTGTAGGTTTGGTCAGAACTGCAGGTGCAAGGTTTATCCTCATTCTTTTCTGGAATCCACATCAGAAGGCTTGTTCATGAATTAAATGTTATATGAGAAAAAGAGGAATCAGGCTGCTTTTTAGATTTTTGAACTAAACCACTGGGTGGATGATGGTGGAAAAGACTGAAAGATGAGCAAAGTGTGAGCTGGGTGAGGGGAATAAAAGGTTCTATTTTAGAAACCTCTTCATCTTCAAAGAGATCAAATGTATTACATCATGCTGGAACATTTTAGACTTAAATAATATAGCTCTGTCAAAAGAATTTATTTCATGCAGACATGACATGGTTTTGCTATCAACCTGGCCTGGTGCCCAGAATATGATCTTATTACCACCTGAAAGATTCACTTGTCAATACTGAGGCCTTTTTAACTTGTCCTCAACCTAGCTTTTATTTTTTAAGCAATAATCCAGATGTAGATGTTTTAGGATCATCAAATTCTGAACAGAATTTAGAATCTATTTGTCTTTGCGTGTTGAACAGTCTGTGTTTCCCAGTATCAGCTGATTTTGTGTGTGCTGTGTACATATTTGAGTCACATTATTTTGTGCCAGTGTAACAGCTGCAGTTATCTTTGGCATGTCTTTCAGGATCATTACAAGCCTCTCTGATGTGTCTTCCCCCATTCTAAAATTTCTGTTAAGGAAGGGGACAAGATTTTAAAAACCTATTAAAAATAAGTAAAAACAAAATTCCAACTCAGATGCAACTAGTAATACCGCTGGACAGTGAATGTTAATATAGACTTAAAAGGTCATATGCTATTGTTTTCAGTATACTATAGATTCAGTGAATGAAGTTTAGAATTATACTTTGAAGAAGGTGGATTGTGCCAGGTCAGAGGAATGCTGCTTTGAAGTATAGATTTGGGAAAGAAATTAAAGCATTTATCCTATCAAAAAAACTTTGGGGTAAAACAATTCCTAAAGTAATATCCTGCCACTATGGCTCCAACCCACGGAAGACCTTTTTTAAAACCTTTTCTCACATTTGATGAGACCATAATCAGATCAAGATTTAATTCAAGATACTTGCAAAGTCCTCTGTGGAAATCACACAAACTCAGAATAAATTAAAAACTCTTAAATTATTTTAATATGTTATTGATGCTTCCATTTTGATCTTTTTATGCTTTTTTTTTTTTAATCTCTTGGCATCTGAGATCTTAGTTCCCCAGCCAGGGATTGAACCCATGGCCCTGCAGTGGAAGCTCAGAGCTGAACCACTGGACCACCAGGGAAGTCGCTGTGCTTTTTCTTACAGACTTGTGCTTCTTCCACTTACTGTCAGTGATGAGGAAACACCCCTTGATCCAGTAAGGACTCATCCTTCACATGACATCAGCTTTCTTCAGAGCATTAACTGGGCACTAGCTCCATACAAAGCTGAGAACTACCAAGCTGTAGGTTGTATCTCCTAAGATCACTTATTTCCATGATCTTCATTGATTTTAAGGCTTTGACACAATTCTCTCTTCCTTGCTGGGAAATTCTATGTGCAGATGAATGTAGGAAGCTGAAGGGAGTCCACTGGCATTGTTTGTCTATACGAATCAGGGTCAGGGCAAAGTATGACATGTTAAGAACTTATATCAGAATTGACTTAGGGAAATTAGAGGGAAAAAGAACAGCATCAGATGCTTCAAGGTTTAGGGATGTTGCTTTGTTTCTGAAGGGAATTGTTTACTTTCTAGCAGAGGATATTAAAAAGCAGAAACTGGAAGGATATTGGAAAAGGGTGGATGTGCTAAATGTACCTTCTCTTTGTATACTATCACCACCATCAGGAACAATAATTATGACTAATCAAGAGTCTATCAGTTGTATTGTGTAGGGATGAGTCTAACAGAAGTTAATAAACTGAAAAAATAATCAAATAGACAGGTCAATACTTGGGTTAAAAATAAATTATCTAAACCAAAGCCTGGGGGTTTCTAAGAGTTATGCAGGAAGGAGGCCGTCATTTATAAAATGAGGAGATATAAAATTATCTAAACCAAAGCCTGGGGGTTTCTAAGAGTTATGCAGGAAGGAGGCGGTCATTTATAAAATGGGACAGATTCTTCCCTCACAGCCCTGAGAAGGACTCAACCTTGCCAACACCACCTTGATTTTGGACTTCAAGCCTCCAGAACTGTTAGAAAATAAATGTCGGTCCTTGTTTAAGCCACCCAGTCTGTGGTACTTTGTTACAGCAGTCCTACAAAAATAATATGGTGCCCAGCAGGCTCATTAAGGACCTACGCCATTTGTTTTGACTGAAGCCTTATGGCTTCATCCATCTTTTCTTTGTCAGGGTTGTTGGTATCAGACTGGGAGGCCAAAAAAAAAGATAAAATGTAAGAACCTCAGTGTGTCAACCCAACTCACAAGAAGGTGGTAGAGAAACACAGAGCCATTGGAGTTTGATTACTCTCATGGTTTATTAATATTCAGATTGAAAAAGGAGCCGTAGAGCCGCAAGTTACGCTAATTGGCACATTTGCTTTATTTATTTATTTTCAAAACAAACTGGGTGTTTTAAATTTTTTTTCCTTTTTGTTCATTCCATCACATTGAAAAGGAGGAAAAGAAAAATGGTTTTGAATTCACTTGATATTTTGGACTCCTCAGATGAATGGAACATTGCACACACACTTGGAACAGAGAGAAATAGAGAGGAAAGTGGACTCCCACAGGGCCACACGCACCAGATCAAAAAACTTGGATACAGTGCAAGAATTTCCCAAATGATTGGATCATCATTACCAAAAACTCGCCATAACAACACCAAGAAACAAAAATGTTTAAGCCACACTGTTTGACTTGGGATCGTTCCTGCTTTTTTTTTTTTTTTTAATGTTTGCCACACAGAGAGAAAGAGGGCTAGTGGGTGGGAGAGGACAGACTCACAGATGTGAGCAGGACAGGAAGGGAAACTTCAGAGTGGAGTTAAGAAGAGGGTGGGGAGAGACAGGGTTCAGGAGAGGGGAGAGTGGGGATGTGGAAAGCCATTTCTTAAAGTTCAGGCATGTTCTTGGTCCGCCTCATGTTCTTCTCCTTTACCCTCATCCTGCCGGGCACTTTCCTTAGGTTTGGTTTCATCTACAGCTTCTGAGGAAGAAAACAGAGGGGTGGAGGGTGAGAGAAGGAGAGTTAGTATTTTGTCTCATATGCTCAGAGGACAGTGTGATGGATTTCTTCTTTTCGTACTGTTTCATAAAAGATTTCAGATATAAAGAGACTATTGCTATCTCAGTAATGTAATTTCCAGGTTCAGAAGAGGTTACCCCCCAAGAAATTGCTCAGTGCTGCATAGGAAAGAGCTGAGGAATCAAACCATGATATTGTGGGCAAGGAGTCCACTAAGCAGAACTTACTATGGTCTGTAATCTCTCAGCCATACAATCAATGTGTCCACACATAGAGGGTCCACAACAACCTTGTATTTCTTTTCCTTTTTGCTGCATGGCTTGTGGGATCTTAGTTTCCCAGTCAGGGATAGACCCTGTGCTCCCTGCATTGAAAGCACGGAGTCTCAACCACTGGACTACTGGAGAAGTCCTTGATCTTGTATTTCTTTTGTATCAATGTCAGACTTATCAGAAACTATTTGGATCATTCAACATGCATTTCAAACCTCTCACTCCGTATTTCTAAAATTATAAAGGTTGGAAAGTACAATACTCATCTTTGTACAATCCCCTCGGAGGTAGGGATGTTCATGTCACACAGTGATGGTCACTTAGAGACAGGTTTCCCTGGGAGGACTCTAGAAGAGGTGTTTGCCCTTTGTTTTCTCCTATTCCTGATGACTGTGACATCAAACAATACCTGGTAGTGTAGCAGCCAGCCTGAGATGACGAAGACAAAAACTACACACTAAGGATATGTGTGCTGAGTCGTGTCCGACTCTTTGTGACCTCGTGGACTCTAGCCTGCCAGACTCCTCTGCCCATGGGGTTTTCTAGGCAGGAACACTGGAGTGGGTTGCCATTTCCTTCTCCTGGGGATCTTCCTGACGCAGGGATCGAGCCCATGTATCCTGAATCAGCAGCGATTCTATACCACTGCACCACCTGGGAAACACTATGCACACAATCATGATGAAGCAGAAAAGCAGAAAAAAACCTACTTGTGATCGACCATAGTACTTCTGGGACACTTTTCCTTAGACTTGTTCTTATTCATGTAAGACAAGTAACTAACCTCTTTAAGCCACTGTAGTAGTTTTTAGTTTTTTGCAGTCAAAAATATTCCAGATGACTATACTTATCCATAAGGCAAGAGTGTTTTGCTAAATAAGAAATACTTTGTGCCTTTATAAAGGATCATTTTTTCCTTAGGGAAGAGTTGATTTTCTAATAACTTGTCTGTGTGATTTTCTGACAGAACTCACAGATTTCGTATTATAGACAGCTTACTAATATGCCACCTAATGGAAAGAGAATCCATTCACCCTGACATCACATCTGTTATTAAATTAAACTCCATGTGTTGGGATCCCCAAGACTCCCGTCAGGTTCAGAGATTTGCTAAAGGACTCACAAGATTCAGCATATAGTCTTACTCATGGTTGCTGCTGCTGCTGCTACTGCTAAGTCGCTTCAGTTGTGTCTGACTCTGTGCGACCCCATAGACGGCAGGCCACCAGGTTCCCCTGTCCCTGGGATTCTCCAGGCAAGAACACTGGAGTGGGTTGCCATTTCCTTCTCCAATGCATGGAAGTGAAAAGTGAAAGTGAAGTTGCTCAGTCATGTCTGACTCTTTGCGACCCTATGGACTGTAGCCTACCAGGCTCCTCCGTCCATGGGATTTTCCAGGCAAGAGTACTGGAGTGGGTTGCCATTACCTTCTCCTTACTCATGGCTACTGTTTACTAAATGAAAGGGTATGAAGAGGAAAAAAGGCAGCACATGTACCCCAATATTCATTGCAGCACTATTTACAATAGCCAGGTCATGGAAGCAACCTAAATATCCTCTGGCAAATGAATAGATAAAGATGTGGTATATATAAACAATGGACTATTACTCAGCCATAAAGAGGATCAGAATTGGGCCATTTGTAGAGATGCAGATAGACCTAGAGTCTGTCATACAGTAAGTTAGAAAGAGAAAAACAAATATCACATATTAATGCATAAATCTGGAGCCCAGGAAAATGGTACAGATGAGCCTATTTGCAGGGCAAGAATAGATACTCAGACATAGAAAATGGACATATGGACATGGCAAGGCAGGTTAAGGGGGTGGGATGAATTGGGAGATTGGATTGACATATATACATTACCATGAGTAAAATAAATAGCTAGGGGGAACCTGTTGTATACCGCAGAGAGCTCAGCTCAGTGTTCTGTGGTGACCTAGAAAGGTGGGATGGTAGGGGGAGATTCAAGAGAGAGGGAATATATGTATACATATAGCTGATTCACTTTGTTATGAAGCAGAAACTAAAGCATTGTAAAGCAACTATATCCTAATAAATTTTTTCAAAAATCAAAGGGAAAAGTTGTATGGGGCAAAGTTTGGAGGAACCCAGGCACAAGCTTCCATGAGCCCTCTCCCCATGGAGTCATACAATATGTGCTTAATTCCTCATCAGCAGTGAATGATGACACGTGTGAAATGTCATAGCCTAGGGAAACTCTCTTGAGCTTACAAGTCCATGGTTTTTATTGAAGGCTAGTCACGTAGGCACCCTCTACCTAGCATACACCAAATCCAGACTCCTAGAGGAAAACAGATGTCCAGCATAAACCATATTGTTGGCACAAAGAGTTTAGGCATGGTGAACACTCTTAGTTAGGAAGTGGTAAGAACCCTCTCAAAATTCAAGTTCCCAGATACCAGCCAAGGAGTCAATTTTTCAAACAAATATTTCTTAGAATTGAGAGATGCTGAGACTAGAGAAATGGGAAACTTTTAGGAGACTATTAGAAGAGCTCATAAAATGTTTCTTTGAAATCAGTCAGCTACATATTTATATTCTGATAAAGCTGAACATTTATACCCAAACAAGACCATTGCTGCTAAATATAGTTTTTGGAATTTCTTCTTTAGAACACCTATCTAATAAATTCTTTTAAATATCTTCAGTAGGAGAAAATGCTTATCTTTTTTAAAATAAATGTGTGTGTGTATGTGTGTGCGTGTGTTTATCTGTGTGTGTGTTTTAAGAATAAATAAATTCCAGGTCTGGTAAACAGCAACTATGATAGGTCAATTTATCTTATGATTTGTTTTTGATCAAAGTTTTAAAGTCTGATCTATTTTGTGGGGTTTGCAACTGACTGTGAGTTAAAATGTAGTTATGCTAGTAAGACTATCTGCAAATACTCATAAAGATTTTTTAAGGCTATATCCCTCCAAGGTGACCATTATCAACTCTTGAAGAATCAGCACACTGATAACATTTTCCAACCAAAAGTTTTGGGTGAAAACTAACTCAATTCTGACCTCTATGTACCAGCAGTGTGACTAATGGATCACTTAATTTTCTACCAGAAGAAAGCTTTCAGATTCACTTGTTAGATCTTTTTATAGCAATTTGCAATTCTTTCAGATAATTTATTTAGTTCCCTGCTGCTGCTGCTAAGTCACTTCAGTCATGTCGGACTCTGTGCGACCCCATAGATGGCAGCCCACCAGGCTCCTCTTTCCCTGGGATTCTCCAGGCAAGAATATTGGAGTAGGTTGCCATTTCCTTCTCCAATGCATTCGTGCATGCTAAGTTGCTTCAGTCATGTCTGATTCTGTGAGACCCTATGGACAGCAGCCTACCAGGCTCCTCTGTCCACAGGATTCTCTAGGCAAGAACACTGGAGTGGGATTTAGTTCCCTAGCCCCGCCCAAACCTTTGGAGACTATAGGTATGCCCACAATGCTTTACCGTTCTTACCAGTTCCAAGAAACAACATATTTAATGCCTTCTCCAAACTGCAAAGAAGGAGAATATTGATTTGAACTGTCTAGAAGAACATAAAAGATTGACTGCAGGAGCAAGAGAAGACTTCAAACCTCTCTTACTCAAAAACTTGGGAGCTTTTATATATGATTTGAAGGAGGTTAAGGAACTCAAAAGACAAGAAAGTAAGCAGGATAGGTGAGAACAGAGGTATATTTGTGGAATAAGAGAACACAATTCAAAAGGGAAAATCAAAGGAACAAATATCCAGATAATTCTGAGAAGCAGCCAAACTTTCGATCCACTTTTGGAGGTAGAATCAGGTTAAATCTTTCCAAATTCCCTCACTTTCTCTTGTTATCCTTTGCCTGGGTCCAGGAGAAAAGGTTAAGCTGGACATGCATCTGTTTATTGTGACAGGAAGTCACTGCTGTCTGTTCTCTATTAAAAGAGCCTCAATATCTATATATCATTTCTCTTAAATGCTTCCAAGTATTTGAAATATAATTATTCATTTGGTTGTCCAATAAACTGGTTTTGAACACTGAGATGTGCCAGACATTCTTCCAACTATTAAGAAGAAAAGTGAGAAAACCAGAAAATATCCTGTTCTTGTTTAAGACTTTAGTATTAATACCATTAATAGGCAATGAAATTCATAATCATAGGATGTTGGCAGTGAGAGGGACCTTTAAGATCTTCAAGGGTAACAACAGTATCTACTGGTCAACTTTGAATGTCCCATGTCCAGCACTGAACCTCTCAGAAATCACCATGTTCACTAGCAGCCTCATGAATTTTATCATTTCTGTGTTACCTTAAAAAGAGAAATTTAACATTATAGACAGTAAATCCATGTATACTTCATGTTCTAGAGTTGAAATTTGCTTCAAAAGGGAAAAAAGAAATGTGTTCATGCATTCATTTATTTATTCAATAAAATGTCCTGGGCCTTTATTACACACCACACACTGTGCCATGCATTTCAAATGCAATGCATTGCAATGGTGATACAGCAACTAAAATACCAAGCAAAAATCTGCCTTCTTGGAATTCATATGCTAGTAATTATTTTCATGTGCTTTGTTTGTGGCAGAAGGGCTGGTAAAGGGAAAAGTAATATCTAGGCAAGAAAAGAGCAGCTTAAAAAGACATATTTTCTCTTAGACCACTTCTCCTGAACTTGCAAAGTTGAATATCTCTAAACA